TACTAGATGATTTCCATCTATTTTTACCTATTTTGAACATAATCTAAGAATACTAACTTGGAACTTTGCTCAAGATAGAATACTTCAACCTAATGAACCAGTGTGAAAAATTCCTTTCTTTTCTAGAAGATGAATCTGGAAAGCTTGTCATATTATTTATCTCTGACTAAAGTTTCTACTGTGGATAGATGGAAGGCAAAGTGAAAATATTCCCTATAGAAACAGGCAAGGGAAAACTGATATTGATTTTTGCAAAATAAATTCAGAATAACTCTCACAGGCTTTAGGTGTATCTAGGTCACTGAGGAAAAAAAAAGACTAATATTTTGCTGACAGATAGGAGAAATATAGTTATTTCTTACACATGGTTATTAAATGGATTCAGACCTTTTTATTATTATACCAAGATTATTTCAACCAAGTAGAAACTACATATATATATATATATATATATATATATATAGAATACAAGAAAATAACTTTGAAAATATCATGCATTTAGATCAGTTTCCCATAGGAAACTCATGGTTAAATTAAATTTAAAATCATTTATCAAAAATTCAAATAATTTAAAAGAGGCATCTACTTCACATGGGATTATGTGGCCCCAATAGAGTATTATGAATTAGTTATTTCTCTTTCTCTTTGGACTCCAAAATCATTCAGAATACCCTGGCCATTTCAGGAGTCATCAAAATTACTGGCCTTCAGTATTACCCCAAGTAGTAAATTTAGCAATCTCTACATATGAATCCAGTGGATTAGAAAGAAAAAAAAGTCTTCATTAGCTCAGAGTAAACAATAAATATATAAATAACCTCTTTGATTACTTAATCAGTCAAAAAACTATAGTAAGCATGTAATATGTGCCAGGTTTTATGGAACACAGGAACATAATGATGAACAAAAAGACACAATAATTGTCATGAGTTTCCATGGTACATACAGTCCAGCATAGAAGATAACTTTTAGGCATATAGTTAAATGAGATCTTCAGCTACTACTACCATTGATGAGACAAAAATTAATAAATAATAAATACATAAATTAATTAAAAGTGCAAAGTGATATGAAATCATAAAATAGGAGGACTAAATCTACTTTAGAGAAGTCAGAAAATGCTTCCTAAAAGATGTGATATTTAAACTGAGTTCTGAAAGGTGAGTAAATATTAACTCAGCAAAAAGAAATATGTCGTATTAGTTTCTAAAATGAAGGTTGTATGCAGATTGTGCTATTCACCGATCCCTAATAATACCTTATAATTAAATGTCAATAACTGCTCAAATCAATATTTCCTCTTAAAGAGTGCTTACCTTCCAGTTTTCCACCAATTCAGATCTCATTTCTTTTTCAAAGCTTAAATGTGTTGAATTACTCTGTAAAAACTCAGCCTTCTTGCAAAAGTGACACTCAATCTTAATCATTACAAGCTAAAATATTTGAAACAGTCTAGTTTAATGGTTAAGAATATAACCCAGAATCTTCTTTGAGAAATACCTCACTAACCATATTTAGCAAAATAGACTCCAAATGACATTAGCTATATGTGAAGCTCAATTCCTTCTCAAAGCAAAACTTTGTCACCAATGAAGAGATTCAGTGGAAAACATCATCAGACCAAGGGACCAACTTATTATAAACCTAGGGCCACCCCAGAGCTTGATTTAATGAGACTGTGCTAATTTATATTCAAGGATAGTACAGTCTTTCATTCATTCGTTTGACAATTGCTAAGAGTATAGCAATGACAAAGAAAGGACTTACTATTTCTTGGACACTATGGTGAGCACATATCTGTTAATCTTCTCAACCACCTTATAGAAGGAGTATTATTTTTCCCATTTTATGGATTCACAAACTAAGGCTTAGGGAGATCATGTAAATTATCCATGGTCACCCAACAAATGACAGGCAGACTCCAGAAGAAATCAGCTTGTGTTTGCCACCAAAGTGCACTTTTTTTTTTTTTTTGGTCTGCCTGGCTCGCTATTGAACTTATCCTAAGTTTATGTTTGTTTTTTCAAAACAGAAAATAGTTTGCTTGATTTTTAAGTGATTTCTGGTACTACAATATTAAACATAGTTGAAAATTTTCATTCTATCTAGTTCATATAACACACTCACAATACCATATACCTATATGTACTAAGTAGCAACATTAATTCCATTAATGCAACAGTAACATTTACAGGCTCTTAGGTCACTCAGTTCCCTAAACAAAGCTTCTGCTTCTCTCTGTGAACACAGAGCCCACCCCCCACCACCCCCGACCCAGGCTCACTCTTCCTGTTGTAACTGGCAGGTGTCACCACTGAGTTGTTGCTGCTGAACCAGGTGACAGCCACAATGGTCCCTGGTGGAGTCGTACCCTGAGGTGGCCTGGAAAACAGTCTCAGATTCACACGAAACTCTGATTTCTCCTGCATGGCACTGGAAATGGCCATTTAACTTTTTCACCAGGCATTGTAAATACCACCTCAATTTAGAATCCATTAATTCATCATCAGGTTCGGCCTCTTTCCACCTAGCTTCCATATTCGGAGCGTTTGGGGGACAACTGTCTGTACCATAAACTTGGGGCCACTCTTTCTATTGTTGTCAACAGTCTTATTAGGAAACTCACAACAACTAACGAAAGAGTGAACGTGAAAATAGGTCAAACAAAATTATACGAATAGAAATACAAAAAGAATGAAGGAGAAAGAGAGGGAGGAATGGAGGGACAGAGAGAGGTGGAGAGACACAAGGACAGGACAAAAAACAAACATTGAGGATATATGGCACGGTATTAAATAAGTCTTATGATGGGTAATTGAACTCCCAGAAGAAAGGCAGACAAGGACAGAAAAAAATATTTGAAAAAACAATGATCAAAAATTTTCCACAATTAGTGACAACCAATCACAGGTCCAAGAAGCTCAGAGAACAAACACTCACACAAAACCCCACACGGACATAGGCATGTTATGTTCAAACTGCTGAAAAAGAAAAGACAATTTCATATTTCAGTTCCAACATGTAAAGATCCTAGAAGTCATTACATCCATACAGGAAAAAAAACAACTGAATAAACTTAAAATCAGTGACTTTTCTTGGAATAACTAGAGAAAAATGTTGCAGGGCAAACTGCTATCTCTAAATCTGGAAAGGTGAATTCAGAGAAAAATTGAGATCAGTTTACTGGGCATAGAAGCCACTAGAGACAAACTGGTAAGAACACAAGTAGTAACTTTGAAAAATAACTGGGCAGTGTGCTCACTAGAGTGAGAGTGAGAAACTCCTGGGGACTGCGGTCGGTCGTAGGGAGTCTATGCTTTTGTGAGATCGAACTCTGGCAATCTCACCAGGTTCTAATGTTAAAGAATCAAGAAAACATGTCTCTCATGTCTCTGGCAGGGGATGCAGGAAGTAGCCAAGACTGGTGGCTACAGGAAATCAACTCTAAAGACATGGGTTAAAAGTAAATATATGGAGATAGGTAAAGTATGGCATCATTAAGTTCAAGGAAGTTGGAGCAGCTGTATTAATTTTCAACAATGCTGACTTCAGAGCAAGAAAAAGTATCAGGGAGAAAGAGGGCCAACAAATAATCACAAAAAGGTCTGTTCTCCAGGGAGCAATAAAAACACTTCAAGAAGTGAGCACCTTAACAAAAATGTATCAAAATAAAGGAAACAAAACCTGATAAATTGCAATGAGAAATAGAGAAAGCAACTATGATACCAATACCCACCTTTCAATAGACTAACAAAATCAGTAAGAATATGGTTGACCTGAATAGCACTATCAAACTGACCAAACTGATTGTTTTCCTGGAAAGGATGAATCTGAGTGAAATTAGGTTGATTTCTGCATGATCAATCGATATTTTGATATATAAGCTAAAATTCCAATGTGGTTTTATTATTTGGAAAAAAAGTGAATTCACAAAATATTGCCTGCGATAATATGTATGAATAGAGCTAATCAACATAAACTACTGGAAAAAAAAGGAAATCTTTTATATACCAGATAGGAAATGGCATGGCAAAATTGCAATGAATAAAAAGGGGGCTTGAAATTCAGGGGAGGGGAGAGAGAGAATTATCTGGAGAACACTTTTAATATGCAAAACATTCCTGAATGAAATTTACCAGGCATGTTAGCATTGATTAAGAATGAAATATAGTATGAAAGGTCTGTGTTGGTGGAGGTTGAGGATTACTAATTTTTATTATATGGGTATATAGGTTTGTATATTTCATTAGGTAGATGTTGCTTGGTGAACTTCAATTACTTGGGTGAAATCAAAACCGACACCCAGACACAGAATGCACAGAGATAGAGAAAAGAGGCAGGCCACTACAGATTGGTAGGTAGTGGTTTTAATTAGCAAGGGGAATTACATGAGGCTTGACTTGGCCGACCACTAAATGAGCAGATCTCTGCCCCTACCTTACTGAATCTTAAGAGTTTATACAGACCAGGCAGTGAGAAAGGCCCTAATGCTTGCACCCAGCTCTCCATTCAACTGGCATTCAATACTCTCTCCATGTCTTCCTCCAGCCCTAGGTTTTCTTCCTGCTTTGCTGTGTAAGCTTTTTGTTTGTTTTGTTTTGGCTACATGGGTTGCTCTCTTTGGGAAGGTTGACCCAAACGACCTAGTCTGCAATCACCCCAAAAGAAAGTCCATACATAGTGTTTTTAGGTTGATTATGCTCACTGCAATATTGCAAACATGTCTATAATGTGGAAATTTACTAATTCCCCATTTAGTACTTTTTAATGACTAAATACAGCACAAAATGAACTAAGTAATTTGATGCTTTCAATGTAAAATTAATCCAATAAAATGGTTTTTGATTGCATAAGTCAATGTATTTATCTAAATAAACATGACTAGGTTTTTTTTTTTTCAGTGTGGCGTATGCTGTGGAAGGGCATATATGAGGATGCTAGCCAGGAACACACTCATGTACAACTTGCAATCAGAAGATAATGAGGGACATCAATACTTTTTCTGAATCTAGTTTTATACTATGCCCCTACTTCCATAACTAGATATTTCCAAAAGAAGTATGTGAAAGAGAAAAAAAAACAGGTTTAGTAAGTATCTTATGACAATTGCTTGTCTTCCTAACTTCATTGAGATATAATTGACAAAAATCCTATACATTTAAGTTGTAGAACTTGATATTTTGATATATGTGGACATTGTGAAATGATCACTACAATCAAGAAAATTAACATTTATTTTTTCACATAGGTCACCTTTTTCCCATGAGAACAATTAAGATTTATTCTCTTAGTAAATTTCAAGTATGCAAAATGGCATTACTGACTATAGTCATGACTGTAAATTAGAGGTCCAGAATTTATTCATCCTGAATAACTGAAACTTTGTACCCTTTGAGCAACATTTTCCCATTTCCTTAATCTCCCAAGGCCTGGTAACCACCATTCTACTCTCTGCTTTTATGAGTTTGACTTATTTAGGTTCCATATATATGTGAGATCATGCAGTATTTGTCTTTCTATGTCTGGCTTCTGGCTTATTTCACTTGCCATAACATCCTCCAGGATCGTGATGTTGTCACAAATTTCAGGATCTCCTTTTCTGGGTTCTTTTCATGTTTCCATACCTATATATACCTAGAAGTGGAATTGCTGGATATAAAAGTAGAAGTGGAATTGCTGGATCATATGGTGGTTCTATTTTTATTTTTTTGAGAAGCCGCCATACTGCTTTCCATAATGGCTGTGCTGATTTACATTCCCAACAACAGTGGACAAGGTTCCAATCCAATTTCAAACTTTCTTCTAATGCACAAAGGAGACAATAATATACAACAATGACAACAGATCATGTTTATGGTTGCTTTATGAATATTCACTGTGTTTCACATGTTGATGTAGATTATCAAGTTTTAATTTTACATTAACTAAATGAAATATACATTTATTACCATATCCAAAAGAGTAACATAAAAAATGAGGTGGCACATATTAAAAAATATGTATATCTCTAATAATCATATAAAAATAAATATTTATATTATAAATATATTATAAATCTATAAAGATTTAATTGACAAATCTAGTACATTAAAAACTAGCAATTACTTACAGGTTATGTATATATATATATAAAATATACAAACTCAGTCATAAGTAAGAAATGATTACAAGGTATAACACTATTTTCTAATTCCTCTATGAAGTTACCTTGTTAATATATGAAGTCTTTTCTTCAGTGAATTTAGGTCATTCACATATACTCACACAAAAATGGGTGAGATATAAATAAACACAAAAATATTTAACCTGAAGATCAGATAATAGGGAGGACCAAAAATTGTTAAAATCAAACCAAACACATCAGAGAGTCAGGCAATGGCAGAAATTCTTAGGTCAGATTAACTTTCTCCAAAATAATAATTACAAATACACTGGAAAAATCATAGAAACATATGCTGGAAAGCATGAGAGACCTACCAAGATAGAGGGCTTGTGATACCAACATCTTGGAGAAAAAAGAAGCGACCTCAATGATTGTGCCTGTTTCCTTTTCCCTAGAGGCATCTGAGTTTTCAAAATCAATGGCTGAGAGGCTAAGAATTTGAGGAGAACATTTTACTCAAAAAGCTTAAATATAATGAAAATCAAAATCAACAAAAAACTATGAACCAGAGACACTTTTTGGGGGGTGGGGGCGGGAGGGGAGGGATTGGGGTCAGAATGGGGGGTTGCAATTGTATGGGGAATATAAAAATAAAATTTATTATAAAAAAAAAAGCTTAAATACTGAGCTGAGCTTCCACCAAATGCACAGTGTTGGGAAAACAAAAACATTACTTTTAGAACCAAAAAAGGGTAATCCTGAAGAATAAGGCTGATTTGGGAAAACGCACTCTCCCCAAGACTGCAGTCTAATTGGAATCACTCACTCTAATTAGATGACATTTTCTCTACAGTATTTATTATTAAAATGTCCGATTATTTAAAAAGGATAAGAACTCACCAAAAGTGAAGAAAATAGAGGTAATAAATACAAACCAAATTCTATCAAACCATTGGATTTAGCAGACAACAACTCAGGAAAGATTTAGAGCATAAAGTACCTAAAACAAATTTTAGAACTTAAAACACAAACTTAATAGATGGCTTTACAATTGATAAAAAGAAGAAGAAAAGGAAGTTAATGAATTTGAAATAATTACCCAGGCAGAAACATGCACACATTCACTAAAGAGGATAAATGGATGGCTAATAATTATGAAAAGATATTGAACATCATTAGCCATGAAGGAAATGCAAATTAAGACTACTATGAAATATCATTACACACTATTAGAACAGCTAAAATAAAAAAGAGTGATATTACCTTATGCTGGTGAGGATGCAGAGAAACTGTATCTTTCACATGGGTGGGAGAACTTAAAATGGTTACAGCTGCTCTGGAAAATAGTTTGGTAGATAATTTTAAAACTAAATAGACATTTAATGCATTACTCTTCACTCATACTCATAAGCATTTATCCCAGAGAAATAAAAATTTGTCTGCAAAAACAGTTGTGTGTGAATGTTCATAGCAGTTCTATTTGTGGTAATCAGAAAAGGAGAAATAACACAGATGTCCTTCAATAACTGAATGATTAAACACACTCTGGCATATCCACACTCAACATTAGAAATGAACTCTTGATACACACATGTTAGATGGCACTTAAAATTAGTACACTGAGTGAAAAATAGAACCTCAAATGATTACATACTTATGATGCCATTTTTCTAACATTCTTTCAATGAAAAAGTGTAGAGATGGATAACAGATTCCCAGGGTTTAGAAATGGAGTTGGGTGAGGATTATGTGACTATAAAGTGGTATAAAATGGCACTCATTTGTGGTTCTAGAATAATCATGGATTTTTATTGTGGCAAGAGACTGCACAGATTCATATTTGTGATTCCATTTCATAAAACTTATATACAGAGAGGGAGAAAGAAAGGCGGGAAAAGAAAGAGGAATGAGAGAGAATAGCACATGTAATAACAAGTAGAATCCAAAAAAACTCTGTAGTCTAATTAATAGTATTCTGTCAACGTCAATCTCCTACATTTGATAATGTAGCATGGTTATGTTGAAATTAATAAGGGGATGCTGAATAAAGGATACATGGGAACACTGTATTCTTTTTTTAAAGATTTATTTATGCATACGAGAACTGAGGTACAGGCCAGAGGTGTGAGGGGTGAGAGGATTCACCAGAGACAGAGTGGGAAACAGAACAGGCAGATTGACTGAAATACACTGCTGAGGGGAGCAGTGGGCGAGTCAGGAGAGGTCTGCTGTGCCATGTGGGTAGTTCCCTGGCCAGGGATCGAACTCATGCTGCAATGGCTGTGGATAGCTTCATAGGTTTCATCTTAACCCCTTGCGCCACCAGGGAGGTCCCCACTTTGTATTCTTTTTACAATATCTTGTTTGTCTAAGTTTACTTCAAAACATAAACTCAAAGAATAATATGAATTATCACAGCAATTATGATCACTTGTGTTAGTATTTATAGATGGATAATCTCATATGATCCTCACAGCAATCCTATGATTTAGAAAGTATTGTTAATTCTACATCACAGGATTGCCATGAGGTGTCAATGAGGAAGTTCTTTTGGAAGGTTAAAAGTAACATGTCATTGCAGCAAACCTCCAATTCCCATACACATTCCCTATAAAACACGCACACACACACGTATACATACACAAACTGAAACACAATGTATAGAATCACTTTTACTATATGCAATGAAACCCTTCATTCCTTTGAATTATCGTTTATTCCTTTTAAAAATGATAACAAATCTATTACCTATTACAAATAGCTCAAAGTACATATTCTAAAATATGCTTACCTAGAAGAAAAAAATGACCATCCTGCATGTCTAAGGTAGAAAATTATTTGTAGAAAAATGTATATAGCATTGTTCTATATTTTACCAATAAAAATAAAGCAGTGATATCATATCTATGTCAATTATATGGTTTTGATGTTATATTACACTATGCAACATTGGTGGAGGCTGGTAGATGAATGATAGGTACTTACCTGTACCTTTCCCGTAACTTCCTGTTTAAGTATAATTATTTCAGAATCAAATGTTAGAAGAAGGGTTAAAAAATCTATAACGTGAAACGTAGGGGTGGGGTGATAAGCATGATGGTGTTTAAAGGTAAAAACTTATTGATTACTAAAGAAACTATAGAGAGCTGATGTGCAACACACATATCCAGACCAGCACAATGAAGCAACTATGGCTATAAAGTGAGACAGATGAAGTTTTTGGCTTCCTGCCTATATAATTCATGTCTACACTATACTGTAGTCTATTAAGTGTGCAATAGCATTATGTTTAAAAAAAAGTTACATACCTGAATAAAATGTGACACAAACACATGAAGTGAGCACATGATGCTGGGAAAATAGCATTTCACAGACATTGTGGATGAAGGATTAACATAAATCTGTGATTTGCAAAAATGCTACAAGTTTGTCATAAGCATGGATAAGGAAAAATGTAAAAATAGTATCATGAATTTCAAAGCAACACACAAGCAAGCAACTGTATCATGTTATCATTCAATTCACTAACAACATACATGTGTTAAAGAAATGTTGAGTTTGTGCTGAAAACTTACCAGTATGTCAATCACTTGAGTACATCTACCTATTAAGTTCTACTACTAGACTCACATCTTGAGGTTTTCTGGCTTTCAAGTGGGTGTGATGACAAGTCTGGATGAACTGGCATCAAAGTTACCACAAACTTGTTTTGTGAGGGTCTGGATCCCAAAATACAGAACAGCCTCCAAGATCCATGAGGCACAGAAGCACTCATCAAGCATAATCCCAAAATAAGTACCACCTGAATTTTTTAAGAGAAGATAAAGCACATAGTTCCATGATGATGTTGTGTAGGAAGGATTTTTTTTTTTTACTTTCAGTTCATGAAAAAGCTGTTATTATTCACCTAGGAAAACCTAGAAGTCCAGGTTGAACAAATTGAGAACTTATAGTTTGTTCAGGAAAGAAACAGGTAGACAGGAATTGTATACCAACCAATAGCTTCTCTAACTACCAAAGTTCATCTGTCAGTAATAAAAAATGGAAAAGCAAACCAAAAAAAGCCCAAAAAGGAAATATAAAATCTAAAATTCTAAGGGATGAACTTATCAGTATCTTCAAGGACATTTATGATGAAACTAAAAAACTTTCACCAAAAGACTGAAAAAAATGGAAAATAGTAATAAACACATCTTATGGAAAGAAAAGGCTCGGTACTTTAAAGTTATTAATATTTCATGAATTAATTTATAGTCAGTTTAGAATTAAAAGTCTGAATATAACCTAATGTACTTTTAGTAAATTAATAAAGTGAGATAATGGTAATATCCAAACATAGATTGGCAATATATGCCATAAAAGCAAAGAAGAAGTTGAATAGGAAAAACAATTGGCTAACAGGAGATTCATTACTATCACACTATAATAATACAGACAATCTGCAGCTTATGTAATCAATCGCCTGTGCAAACTCTTTGAGAGTCGTGTCACAAACTTGATATTTGACAGATGACCACACCAAAATACTCAATTTCAAATATATACCTAAATTCAGCAAAGAGGCATTAAAATTTACATTTTATAGTTTTCAAATATTTACAACATAATCCATAAAGCAATCTGACTTAGACATTGTATAGTGTATTTAGTTTTATTAGTGTGATGAAAAATGAATATATATTTACATAATATTGTCCATTGTAAAACAAATTTGCAAATACCTTAGGGTTTGTGTGTGTGTGCATGTGTGTGTTTATATTAGGAATTTTTTTTATGAGCATATAGAAAAGTATGGAGGAGATGCACTAAGTGATTTGCATTGGTTATAAAAGGACTGGAGAAAAATATGTAGGGTATGATGGGAAATTATTGCACTTTCATTTATATCTGTACATCATTCATTATTTAAAAGAATCAAACATTCCTCCTTAAATAGGACACAATTTAAAAAGAAAATTCAATACTGCACTACTGGCTTTTGATATCCTATATAGAATCTGTTCATATATTATTACTAAAGTTAATTACATTTTCAACTTCAATCCTGCAAAAAACATATATTCTATCATTCTCAGTCTACAAAAAGACAATAAGAAATCCTGCTTATCTGTGCACATTTGAATCCATGTAGGCATATATATATATTTTTAAGATTTTTATTCAAAAGAGAACATTAGGAAATATATCCCAATTGTGAACAATTCTTATTAAGAGAGGTATGAGGCACCCAAGGTTGGTGTGGGTGGAAGGGCAATTGTTAATTTTTATGATGTAGGCTTAGTTAGTTCCATTTGAACTGATGAAAGGAGCTATTTTGTTATTTAAAGTAGTAGAGATAGCAACAAAAATGAAAGATTCTATAGGCTTATCATTTAGTGTGGAAAATTAGAAAGTCACAACTTCTATAAATTGTAAGATTTCTATAAACCAGAGACTAAACATCCTTAATATTAAAATTGGACAGAAGTAACAATAGTAATGATGATTATGAAGATTTAAGGACTACTTACATGGTAGGCTGTCTCCTTGGTGTGTATTTGTGGATAATCTCACTTGAATTTTGTAAAAAGTTCTGTGATGAAGATATTAATTCAAAGGATTCAGTTTCTCTTGGAAATTGAGAAGAGATAAAAACAAGCTATTAAATTATCACATTTGCTTCAAAGTCAAAATACACATTTAATTATGCCATCTTGATATTCTCTTTGGAAGCCAATTATCCATATATCAGGATGTGATTATCTGGTGTAATCCTTTGTATTAGCTATGATTAACCACCAGCATTCAGTTAATTGTCCTTTTATGCCTCAAGATCTCAGATGAAAGTTAAGTTCAAGAGACTGCCACAGGCAAACATTATGAATTGGCTGCCATGTGACTCTGAGCTAATCATTTTACAATAGAGATGACGGCTCCAGGTCTAAAGAACTTAGGGCAAAGGGTGGTTAGGACGACCAGTCTCTGAAACCTGAATACTGTGTGAGTGAACCTGTACTCTTGTAATCACTGATTATGGTAGTATGTTACATAGTTTGGGCTCTAAGTAGTATTCATCTAATAAATCCAAGAAAATGCAGTAAAAAGTGCCCATTGGTTAACAAATCAATGAAGTGGTGTATATACACAATGGAAAACTACACAGCTATAAAAAAGAAAAAGCTGAACTATTGTCGTTTGCAACAACATGTATGGAACTGGAGGTGGTTATGCTAAGTGAAATAGGTCAGAAAGAGAAAGACAAATATTTCATTCATTCATTTGTGGAATATAAAGAAAGAAAGCACTGAAATAGTAAAGACATTGCACCTTTTCATTAAACTAAGCATGCCTACTTTTGAAAAATTTATGTGGGAATGGCTAGAAAAATTACCATTCACTAACACAGTCAAATATTTCATGGGTTATACTTATATCAAAATAGTACATAGTGTTTATCTAAAATTCATATGTAACTGGTATCCTATAACTTTTTTTTTTTTCAAAAGATGAGAACCATACCATTGAATAATATAGATTTAGGAAAACATACATTTATTTGTCAGTCACCAGCTACACTACACAGTCCCATGAACCTGATATTCTCAAATTTCCCTTCCAGTTAGGGGAGAAACAGCTTCCAACCTGTATCTCTTTGCTCAAAACATATCAGTTAGTATTTAGAACTACTACCAGGTATTGTGAACAGAAGAAATTGAAGCATCTTCAGTATCTAGTGAGCTTATGTACAAAATGGAGGAAGGCAAGGAGGCATGGAAGGATGCTTTATGTCAGATAAAATAAACTCTGACTCCTCAGGATATAATATTTTATCCAAAGAATTAGTAAAATGTCTCAGTGACTACATTGAGATGAGAGAACCATAGCTCGTGTAAATAAAAAGAGTCATTTTTCTTAGGGATTTATGTGCAGGAAAATAATTTGTCTCCAGGAGTTAAAGAAGTAGGCAATCCATATTTCCCCCTTGTGTCTTGCTCAGAGTTAAGAGGATTATAACTTTGCTTTCATGATTTTGAGACTTGAAATGAAATACCGTAAGTAGAGGATTTTGAGTGTGAGCACATTCGTTTTAAGTCACGTATCTTCGTGTAAAAATTCCTCTTGGAATTCACAAGAAGAGTAGGGCGACAGAAATACACACCTCTTATATGAAGCATGGAGCAGCTGCAACCTCAAACAATGAAAAGATGTCAGTGTAGCCAAATGCAATGGAGAAGAGAAGAGCAGTAGAATGACCCAGAGCTTTAGAGAGGATGTGCCAGGACAGCAGATCCTAAATGTTTCTGGCAATGCATAGCTCTTTTTAAAAAAAAATATACTTCTATAAATTTTTTAAAAAGATTTATTTATTGTTTATACAAGAACTGGGGTGCAGGCCAGAAGTGTGGGAGAGTGAGAGGATTCACCAGAGACAGAGCGCGAAACAGAACAGGCAGACTGATGAAATACACTGCTGTGGGGAGCAGTGGGTGAGGCAGGAGAGGTCTGCAGTACTATGTGGGTTTCTCCCTGTCCGGCCGGGAATCGAACCAGCGCTGTAGAGCCTGTGGACAGCTTCACAGCGCTGCGTTCAACCCACTGCGCGACCAGTTTGGCCCGCACCGCATAGTTCTTGAATTTGAAGACAAGAGCCTGAGTTGAAATAAGGACATGATTGTATGCAAAGACTGAAGATGTGGCTTGTTCTGAGAAGCATACAGCAAACACAGATAAGAAATGTTAGTAAAAAAAAAAAAAAGAAAAAGAAATATTAGTCAGAGGAAATTTTTTTTTTTTTTTTTTTTTTTTGTGGGACCCTTGCCAGTGGCCGGGGAACAAACCGGCACTTCAGAGGCTGCGGGCAGCCTCGTAGCCCAGCACTCAACCGCTGCGCCACCAGGGGAGGCCCAGTCAGAGGAAATCTTTCCAAGGAAGAAAGAAGAAACGGAAAAAAGAATGTATGGATGGATCTGTTACAATCTAGACAATAACATCCCTAGAATGATAGAAAAATGAAATACAGACAAGGAAGTATCTGGAAAGTCAATAGATATGCATTTCTAGGACTTAGTGAACCAAAAGTGTGACAAAATGGAAGAGATTCAGTTGACTGAAAAGGAGATATAAGTCGCAGGACATTCTCAGAGCTTGCAGCGAAACATAAAGTCCAAGCTTATACAATGATGCATGTCAATTATTTCTTAATAAAACTGGAAAAAAAACAAGTGATACTGACATCAGATTTTTGAATAGCAACACATGATGCAAGAAATTAAGGGAAAAGATGGCAAATTCAGCATATATATTTATTCAGACTGTCATTGAAATGTTAAGTACAAGATGAAATTATTCTCAGACATACAACATTGTTATAAGGTATTTAGAGTCAACACAGTTCTAGATGAAATACTTGAATAAGAGGAGAAAAAATTTAACAGTTGCTTAAGGACACATAAAAGAAAAGATGATAAATTATCACTGCAATGTTTGTTGTGGGAAGATGGATGAGAGCGAGAAAACCAGAGAAAATGGGAGAGTAAAAATAGCCATAATTACACTGAAATAAAGGACTACAAAATATCAACATGATGGAAAGTGGGAAAAGGGGGAAGCATGAGTGATATGATAGTATGACAGGTTGAAATAAAATATATCCCAGAGGAAGTTATAAATTGTTTACAAGAGACACACATTAAGCAAAAGAACACAGGATAGTTGGAAGTAAAAGCGTGGAAAAAAGATGTATTAGCAAGAGTGAAATAAAAGAAAGCTGGTGTAGCTATATTAGAAAGAAAAAATGTCTAACTCAAAAGAAGACAGGAATGAAGAGGTTTAACACATAGCAATAGCAATTCACTGAATGAAATGCAATTTTATATATGCATGGAACACAGAAAGTACGAAAATGTTTCCGTCAAATGAGAGTACATTAGGGAAATATAAATTAGAGCCACAATAGATATCACACACCTGTAGGAAGAGCTAAAATAGAAAATAGTGACAACACCAAATTCTGACATAGATGCAAGGAAACTGGATCTTATAATCTACATCAAATAAGAGTTAAAAATTGATACCATTTTTCCTGATGGGAACTGGCAAAACTATTTCTGTATTATCAATTTTCTTTTTAAATGGGTAATTGTAATTATCATTATATAATAATATACTAATAAATTATGTTGCACTAATAAAAAATTATGATTAATATTAAATGTTTACTCACCTGTCACTCATGATACTGAATATACATATAGAAGTCATTTTACATAAATTTGAAAATGCCAATAAAATCATTAATTTTAATAATCATTTTAATCATCATTAATTTTATATCACAGGATTTTTGTGAGGTTTGAATGAGGCAGTTTATCTATAAAATACTTCTGAGTAAAATATTTCTGTAATCTAAAACCTGCAATTAGGCACATCACAGAGTAATACATCACACTGTTCATTAGCATCAATATCAAGGCAAATTAATTATTAGCATTGTGATTTGCAATTTAGATCTAATTTAAAACACAAAAAGGAAGTAAATTTTGACTACTGTGATTTGGTGGTTCATGTTCAGCTTCCAAGACTCTCTCAATTTTCTGAGGGCAAGTGACTGGCAAGAACGAAATAAATCAAGGCATCTGTTGTTCCCAAAACTACAAATCAACCTTGTCCTATTTTGACAATTTCAAGTTACACCCCTTGTTGCAGGGCTAACCCAGTACTCAGAAGCAGCTCAAAGGAGGGAAATCATACAAAGTGCTGGTGGTCACGCTCAGCAAAATATATACTCAGTTCATAATGCTACCATTAAAATAGTGTGGTTTTTGGCTAAAGTCATAGCAAGGGGTACAATGGAACAGAGTGAATATATCTATTGTGGTGGAAAAATTGAGATTATTAATCACTATTAACTCTTACACCAGCACATGCCCTCTCACGTTAAGCTTAAACTGAATGTTCACACAAGCTTCTACAGTGTTCTAGAAAATTCTCAGATGTGAATAGTAAGTTCCATATGTTCCATACTTTTATGAAAAATCAAACTCTATACAATGGGCATTTCAATTTAGCATGGATATGTGTGTGACTTTGTGTGTGTGTGTGTGTGTGTTTCCTTGCACAAAGCAAATACTGTTGAGAGTGATATGAATGTGCTTGGAAATCACAATGAGCCCCCGTCTGAGGAATTTGACAAAGATTTTATCTCCGCAGAACAAGTAGCTATGGAAGAAAAGTTGGCTAATGAAGGCATGTCCCTCAAAGGTTCCAAATGAAATCATGCACAGTAGTCATTTATTCAAGTGTAATTTAGGCCCGGAATTTACCAGGCAATGAATGAAGCAGGAGTAATTAATGTGTAAGGTGAGTAATTTGGGTACTTGGGGAACAAGAGCACGGTAGCACCTCTTCCCAAGACCCAAAATGGACCAGAATCAATTGAAGAATTACATCTAAGACGTAACCACAATCACCTACTGACCCAGACCACTTTCCATGACCTATAGTTAAATGAGATCAATCATAAGTGACATAATTGGCTCTCATGTCACATAAGTGACAGACTGTGCACCCGGTTCTCCCTGACTGCAAAACACAAACACTTTACGTCCAGTGCATTGACCAACAATCACTG